CCATTTTTGGTAATGGATTTCTCGTTAGTTTCCTATAAGGACCATCTTCAATGAGATTGTCAACCCTTTGAAAATAATCCTGTTTATCCAAAATAACAACCTTATTACCTTTATCCGCTTTTAAGTAAAAGCATTCTTTTTCTTTCAATCCTTTGATAATATTTTGAGTTTTCCGTTGGGAGTTATGTTTATGATTGATTACATTTTTGGAAATTTGTTTCCTAACCGCTTCTCTGGCAAATCCTTTTGAAGAATCCGCGATTCAATATCTCCCTAATTCTACCAAGTATACGAAGGGACTTGATAAGGTTTTCAAAGACTTAGGTTTTGAAAGCGTTTATCAGTCTGGGTCAAAATTAGGCAATTTATTAGGCAATCCGAAAGATAAAGTGGACACACTTGAAAAGTCGGGAATATACGAAATAAGTTGTAATGATTGTGATAAAACATATATAGGCCAAACCAGGCGACCCATAAAAACAAGGTTCAAAGAACACATAGCCCATTTGAAATATGGCAGGTTAGATAAATCTTGTGTAGCCGAACATATGTTCAATCACAATCATAACACACATATTACTAACCTCAAATTAGTTAAGCAAGTTAATAACATTAGAAAACTAGACGCATATGAAAGCTTAGAGATATTTAAGAATAGTAATAGAGTAATGAATAAGGATAATGGACCTATTCCATATAGCCCTCTATATAGTTTAGTAAAATAAAAATTTAGATTAACATGTGAACTCAACCATGACAAACATTAACTTGACGGTTAGTATTTTTCACAGTTATTGGGTGAACATATACCTAGTATATAAGCAGCACACTAGAATAGGATATTTAGTTTTAATCTTCTCCTGAAGATGCTAACATAGTTAGCGAAACACGTGTCGAGGCGTTAAAAAATCGGTTTGGTTAGTGGTAAAACAGTGTAGTGTATTATCGTGCCAAAGGTTCCAGTCTTCGATATATGGTGAATGGAGCTTGATATCATTTTCATTATTGCAGATTTTGACCTGATTTTGCTATCAACATGAAAAATATATAAGAGTAAAGGGTGAATCACCATAATTGTCCCCCTCTCTAACTCAGTTATTTTGGAACCGATCCCATGATTCGAAGAATCATTTGAAATGATTTTTGATATTTTTTTCTGCTACACCAGAATATACAGGGTGTTCAGAACAAATGATCTATAGGGTACTAGTTGATTTTTTTGAATGGAACACCCTGTATTTCATCGCATTTTTAGATTCTTCCTGAAGAGCTGATTTCAACAATACAGCACACTTGGGGTCTATCGTAAAAGATTACAGAGATATAGGCTGTTCAAAATCGAGATATATTTCAACTTTAGGATTTGTTTGTGCCTTTAACTCTTGATATTGGTTGAAACGACTCACATGTCTTTTGACATTTAGTTGTAACAATACAGGGTGGTTCAAGATTCAGATTTCTGATCACCCTATACTGATGTACCTCATTTCAAAATTTTTGAATCGGTTCAATAATGAGTGAGCTACAGGGGGGGGATGCTTTATATGGTGAATCACCCTGTACACATGAGTAAGATCAGTTTCTGATAAAACTCACGATAAAAATCAATATTTCAAATAGTAATTCTATGTGAACAAGAGTCCGCACTTTATTGTTTCAAGAGTGCTATAATAAGTGGAAGAGTGAGATTATACTTTTATTAAAATAATTAATACATAGGTGAAATAATGAGAGAAAATATCCCCGTATTCTGAGAACACATCATGTTCTACCTCTATTCATGAAATGAAAAATACACTTACTTACATCTCAATACGAGAAAAACTATATGCTCATAAAAAAATAAACAGTAGAATATATAACTCAGATGACTTCACAAAATATTGAATATTAATGTTCTGAAGAAGAACTATTATTTTGCTGAAATACAAAGCAGAAGTTATTCATTATTCAGAAGAAATGTCTTAGAACACTTTGGAAATATCCTGTTACATTCATAATAATGAATACTGTATTCCTCGAAATGACAATATCCACAGTTATTCAACTAGACATAGTTAAGGTTTGTTTCTGTGATACAGCGAACACATCCAACTCATAACTGAAGACAAAAATTACAGTCTTGTCAAACCATCGTGAAAAATACAACAAGTATTGGTTGGATAATGCACTTCATCAGTTTCTAGGATAAACCTTACATGCGATGATAGTAAATAATTCTGAATATATTTCAAGAACTGTTGATAGGAATTTTCAGTCTTCATCCCAATAGATTTCAGCGGAATTCATCAGTTGCATTTACATCAATAAGGAATAGTCTCGGCTATAGTGAATACATCAGCTGCGATTCGTCCTTACTTCGAGAGGTAGTACTTTTCACAATGAATTGAAAGTCATTTCCAGACTGGTGAATGTTCCTAATGGAAAATTGAATTATTTTCGCAGTTGAGATACTTAGGATTCTTAGTTCGATAGGTACCTCTACCATAGATTCTTCACGACTCAGAATAATAGTGATTCGTTATATGCGTTCGTTTATCGTTTATCAAGGATGAAAGGTTCTTTTTTCTCAATTTCTTTCGCTTCTTCCAAAAATGCATTAATTGTCTTTTGTCGTCTTATTTCTTCTGTCTTCTTAGTATAATTTTTTGGTATACAGGGTGAGTCAGGAGGAACGCACCAAACTCCAGGTGTGTATTGTACAGGGTGATTCACCATAAATGTCTTCCCCTCTATTTCAGTTATTTTTCAACCGATCCCAAAATTTTAAGAATCTTTTGAAACGATTTTGATAAATTTTTTTCCTCTACATCAGAAAATACAGTGTACTCGGGACAAACGAACTACAGGGTACTAGTTGATTTTTTTAAATTCTATCGCATTTTAAGATTTTTCCTGAAGAATGGGGTCTACCGGAAATGATAACAGATATATATATAGGGTGCTCAAAATAGAGATTTTTAAACTTTAGGATTTTTTTGTGTCGACATAATTCATTATTGGTCAAAACGGCTTTCATGTCCCTATCTCAACTTTTGATTTCCTTTCTACTGACATTTAATAATTGATGCAGACACAGAGGGTGATCAGAATTATGAATTTTGAACCACCCTGTATTAATTAAATGTCCGTAGTTATAGTGAATCAAAAGTTAAGATCGTTTGACCAATATATCAGACACAAAAAAAATTCTTAAATTGAAATATCTCGATTTTGAACACCCTATATATCTCTGTAATCATTCTCGCTAGACCCCAAGTGCGATGTGAGAATCTAAAAATGTAATGAAATACCAGGGTGTCCCATTTGAAAAAATCAATTAGTACCCTGTAGATCGTTTGTTCCGAGCACCCTCTGTATTTTCTGATGTAGCGATATTTAGCCGTCATTGGTCAGTGTCAGTGTGTTTGAAGCATTTATTTTCGAGTTCATATTTTTCATGTCGAAATAAAATACAAAATTCACATATGAACAAATATCCGAAATCGATTCGTTTCCGAGATACAGGGTGTTGAAGCATCGGTAGAATTGATGCATGTATTATTGAAGTTCGAGAGGTTCATATCCAACAACTTTTATGAAATATAAGCGCGAATATCAGTCATTTAGTTGATGAACGTACCACCTGTATATTCACTTTTTATTCATACCTACTGTAACCTTTTATTCATCAATTAATATACTGTTCTTCTCTCCACGGGCTCAGAGACAAGCATGGGTTTGGTTTTAATTTTTTTCTCTTCTAAAACGAAGCCGATACGAAAGAGAGTCTGGAACTGAAAAAATATGTATTTTGATTTGCTTCAATCAAAAATATCATAATCATTTGAATCTACTGGGTGCTATTTTTTGTGCAAAAAAACTATTGGACTTGCCCCGTGGGCGCGCTCCTGGTAATACTTCATCAACTGTAATAAGTCCGAAAAATAACCCATTGAAATTTCAACAAACATTGTGAATTTTATCCCGATAGTGATAATATTCACATTTTTTAGAAATGATTTATGAAACGAATCGTTTTCGGACATTATGTTCATGTATGAGCTTTTTATCTTATTTCTACCCAAAGAATATGAGCTTGAAGTTTCGTGCAATATTGATGAAATACCCTCTAGTAGAGTAATATAAAACAGAACACATATAGGTATGTCCGTTTTGTTAAAATTTCATTTCAGAGATGGAACAATATACTTCATTATTCGGGTGTACCAAAGACCCAACAAGTATTTTACTTTTTCGAAGAGACTTTTATGGATGTCATATCAAATATCCATCCATAGATGTTCATGATTTCGAATCCAAGGTTATCTCGATAAGAATTGGACATGAAACTGATAATCCTATACTCTGTGTTATGTGGATAGGTATAACAAATACACAATATTGATGTTTGGACGCAGCTGATTCTTAATTTTTTGGATCGCATGAAAGGTAATACCTATATTATGTTCGTGAATCACACTGTTTGTACCAAACTATGAAAAATCTTTTGTTTTTCGAAATAACCACGAAATAGCATGCTCTATATGTATATCTCTGTATACAGGGTGTTTCTTAAGTACGTGTAAAAAAGGAGCATGTTGCTGACGTCAAAATAAGAAGAAAAGTTCTTACACACATATGTCCGCAAGTTATACATTTCTGAGATACAGAGTGTCAAAATTTTATTCTTATTCCTGTTTTTCGAGAATAATTTCCAAAATAATTCTTATATACGAGTTAAATTTGGTATTTCACTCGAATATCACGATTATTTTGGATTTTTTCACAAAAAAACGGAATATCAATCAAACTTTGACACTGTATCTTATAAACGAATAACTTGCGGAAATTTATGTTTATACGAACTTTTCTTCTTATTTTGACATCAGCAACATGACCTGATTGTTTTACACTTACTTAAGGAACACCCTGTATAAACTAAAATCATAAGCCTTCGCCTATCCGCAGCCATTTAATCGGAATATCTGTATTCAAGATAAGATAACCAAAATATAGGTAATTAATTTACCGGAATGCCATCACCTACATTTTCATCATCACCAGAATCACAGTCTGATATATAAAAATAAAATAATGAAAATATTATAGTACAATCTGTGCTCTGTTATTAACAATAATACCTGATAATGGCAACAACTAAAAGAATTTATGTTTTCGCGACCTGTATTCTATCGGGAATTGCAGCACTTTTCACGATCATCTCCCTGGCTACAGAACAATGGGTTGTATCGGATTCAATTCAGTTGGTAGAGGGTACGAATGACCAGATGAGTCAGAGGAATAGAGTTAGATATGGCTTGTTTCAAGGAACATATTTTCAAACAACGCCTTCAACATTTACCTTTCAATTGTCAAGTAAGTTTTCCATCTCTGATGCTGATGCAATATAATAATTATAGTAAATATTAGGCTTTTGTCAAAGTTTACAGCATTAAAAATTTCTGTAAAATTTGCTTTTGTGGACCACAGCGTATAGGTAGTGTGTATAAAGAGCCCGCGAGCGATAGAGAGTGGGGCCTAAAAACGTACACCATGAAATTACTGTGATTATTCTTAGTGGATTTCATTATTCTTATTCTCAAAAGGTGCACTGAACGTTCTGAGAATATTCTAAGAACATGCAAATGGGACGGAAATTCACGATCCAAGAACGGTCTCATTTAATTTTTCAGAACATTCTCAGAATATTCTATGAATATACCGGGTGTCTTAGTATACCGGAAGTGACTTTCAGTCTTTGTTTTTCTCAGTTAAAGCGCCTTTAAACGAACTGGAGATCATGAAATTTTCGAATTTTTATTTTTCGAAATGGCTGAGATAATTCATTGGAACAGGTATACTGGGACACCTGGTATATTGAACATCCTCAGAATTATCTAGGAATATTCCCAGTACACAGAGTGTTTTATTTAAGCGCATAGAAAATATTTCAGGGGTCGATATGGGAGAAAAATATGCGAAGACCTGAAAGGGACACCTGAAATGAAAAAAATTAAATTCCGGAATTTCAACATTCCGATTCATATCTCGGAATTTTATAACTCACAAATCTACATCCAATATTCCGAATTATAATGAAGCGAATTAGGACATAATCATTTTGTTTTTTAGAAATAGAAATTTTTCTCTATCTGAGAGTATCTTTAAATAAAATATTCTATGAACATACCTGGAGAACAAGCCAAGAATATTCGAATAATACATTCTATATGATATCATTACTAAACAACATTCATAGAATTCAATGGAATATTCTAGGAACGTTCTTAGAATATTTGGCTGAAATGTTCTAATATATGAATATTCACGTAAAACATTCCATGAACATTCAGAACATCCTCATCATATTCCATGAATGTTCTTCGGAATATTCTGAAGGAGAAAAAGAAAATGAAAGGGAAACATGTCCCTTTTGCGAATATCCAAACATGCCGCGATTCAAAAATTAATCTAAGTTAGTGGCAGAGCGTCAATATTTCCGTGAATATTTCGTCCTCGTCGAAAGATAATATCCGATGGACCAGTCTCTGAAACTCATGTGGTGCTTACACTACAAGTATTCTGATCCACATGTTGAGTACACTATACATATCGATATATCGATATATTTTTCTGAAATATCAATATTTTTGCGGAGCTCTAGTCTGAACTGCCATCCTAGAAAACTTTTTTTTTCACGAACATTTGCCTAATTTACAGTTGCAACTGTAAATCAGCGCTGATTTACAATAGTAACTTTGAATTAGGAGATCGAGTTGTAGAAAAAAAGTTCTCTTATTCTAATTTACAGTTGCAACTGTAGATTTTAGCACTAATTTACAGTTGCATAGCACCATGGTGTCTGTGGACACTATTCTGGAACCACATTAATATTTACATACATAATATTTACAGTGACGTGCTCATTGAAGGAAAATATATGCGCTGTGTTATGCACTGGCGATAGCGAAATACTAAGTGCACTCTACCAAGGACAAAACGGAAGCCAAAGCGATCCAATGTTGAAGTGCCCAGTAATTCATCGAGTATCTACCTATAGAAATAGACCAATCACTTACAGTAAAGAATCTATGGGTGAGTGTAAAATTCCAATGATGTTTAACTGCATTTTGTATGCGGATGGCTCAATCAGCAATCAATCAATACTTATCTACTACAATAGAAGGCAACGCGGTGACGTCAGCTGAAATTTATTTATTTACTTCTCAAACAAGTCACGTTATTAGCAAAGATTGGTGATAGCACATCTAGCCACTTCTGCAATAAGAGCGCTAACACCATCCAATCGCGAATGTTCTTTGCATTTGACTGTACCAAAGATATCGCCGCAGAAAATACGATTGAATGGACTGGAGATCCAAGGCACGGGACCACCAACCAGTCACAACACATAATCAATAGTCATCGGAAGTCAGTGCTGTACCAATTATCACACTATGTTTGAGGAATTTTGTTTTTTGCGTTTTAAAGCACATCGCTTTTCTTTCACAAATAATATATAGCACTAACATTGCATAAAATATATCGCTCTTATATCGCAGAGAACTTATCGCACCGACGTCGCATGGATGAATCTTGAGTAGGACCAAATAATATTCCTCTGATATCGCAGCGACGTCAATGCGACATAGAATGGGATATCTCTGTGATGTAACTGTGTTTGCTGGGATGTTGCACACCATATGTGTAGAAAGTAGCAAATTCGTAGATGTGGATTTGTTTGGGACCAAACCATATACATTACTGACACTGACGTATTGTTCGATCTTCACGTAGGTATCCTAGTAGTAGTAGTAGTAGTAGTAGGTGGGGAGGCTGTAGCCAAGCAAGTAGGCCCCGATGGGCCCTTTTTGCTAACCCCTGCTCTCCACATATCTACGCTTATTCCTTCACCTAGATTTCCTTTACGAATCTCCCTGACCTTCTGATAAAGGCCACTCTAATATAATCAAGTCCTCCTGTTGGAGTTTGTCTACTCCAAAGATTTCAAATCTCAGCCTTCCGTACGTCTCGCACTCGCCGAGGAAATAGAGTGACGTTTCCTCGTGTTCCCCGCATCTGCGGCAAGTGGGGTTGTCCTCTATTCCCATAAGTGATAGGTGTCTGCCTAGCCTGTTGTGTCCTGTGAGTAATCCTATAAGGAGGCGGAGTACTTGGCGGTCTCTGCCAAGCAGCCTCTCCTTCCTTCCTTGGCCTGCCTGCAACCTGTGATATTCCTCCAGTATTCTCCTAGTGCCTTGTCCGCCCATACATCGAGGGCTGACGTAATTTGGCTCCTTGCTATGCCTAGTACAGGCTCTGGTCCCAGAAACGGCTCCGCGGATCCGGCCCTAGCACAAGTTCGTCTGCTGTTTATTCGTTTCCGGGCACCCCACTATGACCCGGGACCCATACCAGTTCAACTTCCTTTGATTCTGCTAGGTATCCTAGCTCCGCTAGAACTCCACACCTAGTGGTATATATTATTTGTTCAAATAATTTGGCTATGGCATGTACGCAGAACTGATATTGGCTTTATAGTTTTCTATATATCTGATGTGCAATTTTCCAGACTTATGGATGGAAGTTACTATTGAGATGTTATATTGCTTCCTTCCACATCTCTGATGACAACTGTAGTATCTAGACCGCATATGTCATATTATTGTCATATTCCAGCTGAAACCGCTTCTGCCAAATGCGCAGGTACTCCGAAACTGTCGTTGGTTTTCTGTTTCGGGCCAGGAGCTATTTAACTTCCAGTCAGCTGCTTATGATCTATAAGGCACACATCCGCCCTGTCCTGGAATACTGATGTTCTCATATTCGGAGTGCAGCACCCAAACATACCCTGAAACTGTTGGATTCTGTCCAAAAAAAGGGCAATTCGTCTCGTGGGTGATGCCTTCCTCACAAACTCACTTACTGCTCTGGAACACCGTGCGCCAAATAGTTTCCGCGATGCAGCCGGCGTCCTTTCTTAGTGGTTCACCCGGTACATTCCTTGGACGTTTTGAAACCACCATAATATTGATAATTCACAATTTGGATATTGTAGTTCCAATGGACATTCGTAAGACGTACATTATTGAACTTACATAGTATATATGCACTATATGCAGAATCGTACATTCATAGAACGTACATGAATGTTTGATTTTTAACCGCCATAATATGGATGTCGAAAATTGTACATCCACTGGACAATCATTAGACGTAAGAAACTGCACGTACAATGAACATTCCGAATCGTATACAGGGTATGTCACGACAAGTTTACACTATCTCTATATCGAGAATCAGTCGAAAGAAATCCATGAATATAAGCATGCTTATAGTTTAGAATACGCTCTCTTCATTTGAATTATTTTCAGCAATGCAGTGTTGCGCTTCTATGAAAAAAAGCAACAAGTTTGTTGATTACTGACACTGACGTATTGTTCGATCTTCACGTAGGTATCCTAGTAGTAGTAGTAGTAGTAGTGGTAGGTGGGGAGGCTGTAGCCAAGCAAGTAGGCCCCGATGGGCCCTTTTTGCTAACCGCTGCTCTCCACATATCTACGCTTATTCCTTCACCTAGATTTCCTTCACGAATCTCCCTGACCTTCTGATAAAGGCCACTCTAATATAATCAAGTCCTCCTGTTGGAGTTTGTCTACTCCAAAGATTTCAAATCTCAGCCTTCCGTACGTCTCGCACTCGCCGAGGAAATAGAGTGACGTTTCCTCGTGTTCCCCGCATCTGCGGCAAGTGGGGTTGTCCTCTATTCCCATAAGTGATAGGTGTCTGCCTAGCCTGTTGTGTCCTGTGAGTAATCCTATAAGGAGGCGGAGTACTTGGCGGTCTCTGCCAAGCAGCCTCTCCTTCCTTCCTTGGCCTGCCTGCAACCTGTGATATTCCTCCAGTATTCTCCTAGTGCCTTGTCCGCCCATACATCGAGGGCTGACGTAATTTGGCTCCTTGCTATGCCTAGTACAGGCTCTGGTCCCAGAAACGGCTCCGCGGATCCGGCCCTAGCACAAGTTCGTCTGCTGTTTATTCGTTTCCGGGCACCCCACTATGACCCGGGACCCATACCAGTTCAACTTCCTTTGATTCTGCTAGGTATCCTAGCTCCGCTAGAACTCCACACCTAGTGGTATATATTATTTGTTCAAATAATTTGGCTATGGCATGTACGCAGAACTGATATTGGCTTTATAGTTTTCTATATATCTGATGTGCAATTTTCCAGACTTATGGATGGAAGTTACTATTGAGATGTTATATTGCTTCCTTCCACATCTCTGATGACAACTGTAGTATCTAGACCGCATATGTCATATTATTGTCATATTCCAGCTGAAACCGCTTCTGCCAAATGCGCAGGTACTCCGAAACAGTCGTTGGTTTTCTGTTTCGGGCCAGGAGCTATTTAACTTCCAGTCAGCTGCTTATGATCTATAAGGCACACATCCGCCCTGTCCTGGAATACTGATGTTCTCATATTCGGAGTGCAGCACCCAAACATACCCTGAAACTGTTGGATTCTGTCCAAAAAAGGCAATTCGTCTCGTGGGCCTTCCTCACAAACTCACTTACTGCTCTGGAACACCGTAGAAAAGTCGGCGATCTGGCTCTATATTATAGATATTTTCATGGACGATATATGCTCGTCTGAAACATCAACAATTGTTCCTCCCTTGGCAGTCCCCACGAGAATAATCCGTCGAGTTGAGGCTTCGCACCCCTTCATGGTCACTTTGGTGACCTGCAGAACGTCTCTCGCCAAAGACTCGTTCATACAACGAACAGCGAGGCTCTGGAACACATTGCCAATTCCTACTTTATTTTCCTTAGTTCTCACGATGTTCTATGGACATTACAGGATATCCCTTTTCGTGGAAACCAGAACATAAAAAAAAACATAAGTAAGAGTGAATAAGATATATGACAGGTCCTGAATGCACACGCTCCATTGGATAGCGGTCTAGTTAGAAGTTTATGGAATTCTGTCAAAGTCAACATATTTTTTGGGTCCAAGTTACGTGTCGTGGGTGATGCCTTCCTCAGAAACTCACTTACTGCTCTGGAACACCGTAGAAAAGTCGGCGATCTGGCTCTATATTATAGATATTTTCATGGACGATATATGCTCGTCTGAAACATCAACAATTGTTCCTCCCTTGGCAGTCCCCACGAGATTAATCCGTCGAGTTGAGGCTTCGCACCCCTTCATGGTCACTTTGGTGACCTGCAGAACATCTCTCGCCAAAGACTCGTTCATCCAACGAACAGCGAGGCTCTGGAACACATTGCCAATTCCCACTTTATTTTCCTTAGTTCTCACGATGTTCTATGGACATTACAGGATATCCCTTTTCGTGGAAACCAGAACATAAAAAAAAACATAAGTAAGAGTGAATAAGATATATGACAGGTCCTGAATGCACACGCTCCATTGGATAGCGGTCTAGTTAGAAGTTTATGGAATTCTGTCAAAGTCAACATATTTTTTGGGTCCAAGTTACGTGTCGTGGGTGATGCCTTCCTCAGAAACTCACTTACTGCTCTGGAACACCGTAGAAAAGTCGGCGATCTGGCTCTATATTATAGATATTTTCATGGACGATATATGCTCGTCTGAAACATCAACAATTGTTCCTCCCTTGGCAGTCCCCACGAGATTAATCCGTCGAGTTGAGGCTTCGCACCCCTTCATGGTCACTTTGGTGACCTGCAGAACATCTCTCGCCAAAGACTCGTTCATCCAACGAACAGCGAGGCTCTGGAACACATTGCCAATTCCCACTTTATTTTCCTTAGTTCTCACGATGTTCTATGGACATTACAGGATATCCCTTTTCGTGGAAACCAGAACATAAAAAAAAACATAAGTAAGAGTGAATAAGATATATGACAGGTCCTGAATGCACACGCTCCATTGGATAGCGGTCTAGTTAGAAGTTTATGGAATTCTGTCAAAGTCAACATATTTTTGGGTCCAAGTTACTTTATGACTCGATAATATTCTCATGCTGCTTATGTTGAGTGATTTGTCAAGCTGCTTTCTCTGTGGAGCTGTGGAGACTTAGCCAATGCGCTGACGTCAAAGATGTGATAGTAAATTCAGTGGATTGAGCCATCTTCTATAGATAAACAGTTGAAAATTATTGCCTACCACCTACTTCTTTTTTCAGCTTCAAGAACATTCATAAACTGTGGAGTATGGGTATCAACCATAATCTTCTTAGTACTGTCCCTAGCTTTTGGAGTGTTATCTAGCGCCTTGGCTTTGTTTAACACTGTAAATAATCCCGTGCAAGTATTTCTAAGCATCCAAGGGCTGTATATATACAATGCTATGGCACTTTGTGGTTCTGTTATAGCATTGGCATCATGGGGTATAATGCATCCTTTTATAACCTACCACAATGTAGCAATCTATTATACCATAACTGGGCAGATGAGCTCTGATAAAGTAGCATATCTGGGTTACTCGTACTGGTAAGTGTATTCGATTCCACAGAGTTCTCTTTTATCTTCGAAATTTGCTAGACTTGAATTGTTATTTCATTTAGGTCGATGGCGATTAGTCGATTTGATCGCGATTAGAAGTGTGGTGCGATATTATGTACAACAAATCATTCAAATCAACTTCAGGTTATATACTACTAAAAACTGACACACCCCCTGTGAATTCTACATTTTCGAAAAAATGAAATTTGATACGCCTCCATCATTGATTGTCTAGTGAAATTTATTCAATGTGTTAGTTTCAGGCAGTACACGATACCTTCTAATGTATATTTTCTTTTTCAGGATAAATATTATACCGATTGTGTTTTATTGTGGAAGCATTACAGTGCTCTACATTCGTCAGTATCTCTTATCAAAAGATCCAGGACACAAAATTGTTGAAAGAGAAGATAATGCCGATCCTGTTATTTATTTATATTGATTAAGATTATTTTGGTGAAATCTCACTTCTATCTGATGCTGATAGAGGAAAAAAATATGAGTTGTACTTCTAGAAATTAAATCGCGTATACATGTGTAAATATGTTTCTATACATGTATAATTCACTTCAAATAAGTGTGTTGGGATGTACATAAAGAACGTCCATTGGACGTACCACAAGGATATTCCATACGTCCATTATAGGTCTGTTCACGTCCATAAACGTCCGGAATACGTCAAACAAATTAATGTCTAGATACACTAGATAAAACATCTTATGAAGGTACGTCAAGGATGTTCAATGGACATATGTAAAGAACTTATTCCATTGTACGTACAGCAAGGATCTTTTGTTCGTCCATTTTATGTCGAGTTAGGTCCATATTCTCATAAAATCGCGTTTTTTCAATTACCCAATGCAACTACGCCCCCTAGCGGCCGTCCTGGAAACTTGAAAATAATTTGTAGAGATTTTTCTTGGCCACTTTCATCATAAATATTCTTTTCCGAAACCTGTGCGGCAAATAGTTTCCGCGATGCAGCCGGCGTCCTTTCTTAGTGGTTCACCCGGTACATTCCTTGGACGTTTTGAAACCACCATAATATTGATGATTCACAATTTGGATATTGTAGTTCCAATGGACATTCGTAAGTCGTCCAGTATTGAACGTACAGTATATATGCAGAATCGTACATTCATTGAACGTACATAAATGTTTGATTTTTAACCGTCATAATATGGATGTCGAAAATTGTACAACCACTGGACAATCATTAGACGTACGAAATTGCACGCTCAATGAACATTCGGAATCGGGGAATCGTATATACATTCATTGAACGTGCATTAACGTACATTTTGTAAACGTGGAAACTGGATCCATCAATCACGTACATCTTTTGGACAGTCTGAAACCTGCAAATATGTATGTTTCGGTAATGTCGAATATTGTACTCTCAATGGACATCTAACAGATCAGGTTTTGCGGTACAAACTGAAATGGGTGATAGATCTCATCATTTAAATTAAAAAAGTTAATATTAACATGAGTCCGATCTCGGTCAGTAGCGGATCTACAGAGGGTCAAAGTTCAATTATTTTTTTCTATTAATTAAAATATCTTGCTCACTTTTGAATATATCAATTTGAAATTTGGTGTGGTTGATACTTCCTAGGAATTCATCATTTTAATGAATTTTCAAATCTACAGTGAGACACGTTTTCGGAGGTATAGGCTTCTTTATATCCCCCAAACTTTTTAGTAGTACGCCTCTCTAACATTTTCCAGTTACTAAACAAAATTTTGTTCTTTGTACCAGTATTTCAGGTGATGGAGCTACTTTGTTAAGTGCTGAAGTTTTTACATTCGTTACATATATATTTCAAATAATTTTTTGATCTACCGTAAAACTTCTTCCAAACCAAAAAACCGCCGTCAGTTGCACTTTTTTGATGAATCAATTAACAAATAGGTGAGTTATTTTCTCAAGATCCTGTGAAAAATAAATCCTGTGAAAATATGTTTTAATAGTTCTTCTTGGCATTTGAGCTCTTACAAAGTGATCACATTTAGCCACTATCACCTACCAGTCCTATACATAGAATGAATTGGCACACTTGTTGTGAATGTGCATTTCGAATATCTTTCTAGTAAAAAGTTTATCAAGATCGATAAAAAATCAAGGCATCAAAGGGGTGTAGCAAGTCCTCAAAACCATTCAATAAAAAATGTTTTTTGCGATTTGACAGTTTCATAATAGATTTTCTTTATTTCATGTGTTTCATTAGGTTGTGATGATGGAATGTTAGAGTAAGTATACGGTATATCGATCATCTGTTCATCTGTATATGCATGAATATGACGTATGAATACCCTCTTTTTCATATTATTAGTTTTCATCAAAATTATGTGTATGGTCGAAAGGAGGATGAAAGAGCAAGTTCAGTTTTTGTCTTGAGCGTGGACTGAAAATCAATCCTGCCATTTGATAGTTAGTCCTCTTTATTGTACGGAGAGTTTGTATTGTTGCATGGAGAAACTTATCAATAAAAACAGTTATCATTATTATTATTATTTTGAGTTAACAAGCTAAAGGTTACGCAATACATCGGAAACTATTTAGCTCTTACTAGATGTTTTTTCTTTCAATGAACTTTTTGACCCATTTATTAACTCAAATCAACCAAAACCAAGATTGAAAACTTTTACTAAAGGAGGCAATTCACCTAGCGCCGACCCTGTCAATTAAAACAACTCATGAGCGAATGATAGTCCTGTCGATAGAGACATTAGAATGGTAATGGTGTGATATAAAACTCTATTTCTGGAAATCGAATAAATATGTACTATCATAATCAGAATATGTTTTCAACATTGGAAATGTGAACTCCAGATTGTTTTTGGCAGTGCCGGATTTATAACGGGTCTTCAACAATGATTGAAAACCACGTGACAGATAACTATGCAACCAGGAATACATTCGTATCTCTTTAACGTGGGTGGAAAAGAGACGCCGCATCAAAAATGGTCACATGGCACTCACTAGGCATTGTCTGATTGAAAACTTGAGTGCCGCTAACTAGATCACTGACTCGGGTTGATTTTTCGTGACCCTACTGAGATGGAGGGTCGCCAGAGTCGCAAAAGGACACCGCATGCGCATTACCAATTTATACAAAATTTATGTTAATCGAAAGACGCGGGAGTTTACCACTACACGTTATCAAAATAATAATAAAATAGTTTCCTTCTAGGGTTTTTTTTTTAATTTTAGAAAACATTCAGTGCTTATTAGTTACGATATAGAAGTTCAGTGTATTAGATTTTTCGGGAAAAATGATATGATTTGTGATATTTTTTAGTCTCATTTATTATCGTAGTGGGCTATGACGAATTTTTAAATAGGTACCGTAGAATGAGGATAGTTGGAGCACTTTTCACATACAAAATATACGTGGAAAAGTTATTGATAATGGCAGGGAATTTTGCACTATCATAAAAGATGTATGAGTTGATATACTATAATTGAACAAGAATTTATATTCGCCTGTTCAGTCGTTAGGAAGATATTTACAAAAAATATAGCTGTCCCAAGTTACCCGCTGATTTGAAAACTTGAAACAGTAATACAATTAAATGTCAATTCATCGACTCGTCGGCATTGTTGGTACATGGGCATTCGTTTTGGGGTTATCTAAATCCATCCGGAATTAGTTTGTGATTAAGTAATCCAATAAATAAAATATTTCAAGGAGAATACATTATATTACCTAGCTTGTTATGAATGCATTTCATGAAAAACTCAAAAAATCTCTTGATTATAATTCCTAACAATAAAAAATTAGTAAAATCTCATTTAGCAAGCAAAAAGTCAAAAATTAGCTCTTTGGTGGTGTTGGTGGAGTTTGGTGAGTTGTTGTGGGATGGTGGATGGAGGAAAGGTCTTATCAAGTACCTATTATGATCACAAATAGGTAAGTACAATCATCCGCGCCTGTTCCAAGTTTTCGGCGAATTTTTCCAATTTTCGTAATAAAAAAAATATTGGCAATACTGTTCAAAATCGAGCAGTGATAACATCGCGGCATTTTGCTAGTGAAATAGTTACTAAACATGACTTAGGTATATGAAATGAACGCCGTATATTGAATTGATCATGTCTTTTGGCTTGAAGCTTTTAGCTATTTTTTTCCGTCATATCCCTGCTCATTATGGAGAGCCGTTTTACTATTTAAAGGTAACAACGATTTAACTCGCAGTTCCAAGTATCCCGATCATTCTACGGTAGGTATAATGCATACAACATCCTAAACCGAGACATTTTTTTCCCTGAAAAATGTCAATTCTAAAATGTTTACCTTTAGGTATATCGTTACTCTTATTTCACTCAATTCTCATGGAATCACCGTGGAAAGAGAGGAAAAATTCTGAAATTCCAAAGTGATAGATAGTAAAGCTAATGATAAAGTGTTACAATATGACAACATTAGATATATCAAAATGTAGATTTCAATATCTATGGGATGTCGCAGTATGATATCGATGGGATGTAACAATATGATGTCTTACGATGTTCTGATATTCATCGTAATGGATAAAAAATTACGACCTCATGAAGGGGTTTCGCGCAGTACGATAATACCCATATCACTGTATTGAGGTAATGTTAATAAAATCACCCTAAAAGTCACCTATAATTATGTATAATAATAATAAAAATTTCCAGATAAAAGGTATAATAACATTTGAAATAATAATAATAATAATAATAATAATAACAAGTTGCCGAGTGACACAGGCTTTTTTTATGTTCTGGTTCTCACGAAAAGGGATATCCTGTAATGTTCAGAGAACATCCTGAGAACCAAGGGAAATGGGGAAGGAATTGGTGTTCTTCTTTCTGGAGGTTATATGCCTCGGGAACACTTCCTTTGGCAATGTGTTCCAGAGCCTCGCTGTTCGTTGGATGAACGAGTCTTTGGCGAGAGATGTTCTGCAGGTCACTAAAGTGACCACGAATGGGAACAGTACTACAGGACAAGCCGGACCTGTGCCTTATAGATCATAAGCAGCTGACTGGAAGTGAAATAGGTCCTGGCCCGAAACAGGAAACTAAGTTTTTCCCCTTTTCTCCTTTGTTTTTCTAGCTTCATTTCTGGAACATTATGATGAATTCAATGATACCGGGATCGCTGGGTTATTTCAAACGATTAAGAAGATTCGAAAGTTTCCATAAACTTAATGAGTGTGACAGAGAAATACGTTTCGATATTGCGCCGTCAAAACTGTCGAGCATATGGAAACTTCGATCGCGAATATCTTCATAATCGTTTGAAATAACTCAATCAAACCTGCTATTGTTAAATTTGTTATAATAATCCCTAACCGATTATGAAATGAAATATACAGGGTGCTCCATTTGAAAATCGAAAGTTGATTTAATTTTCAGGGAAACCGGAAGAACCAAAATTCCTGAAATGTGGGAAAGTGCCCTTTAGTGAGCATATTCGATGTTTCATATTTTAGAAATATAGCTATGAAAACAAAGGAGAAAAGGGGGGTATACCATGAGTCTGTGT